CTAACACGCCCCCACATGTCTACGTCACGATGTGGGAAGATTTGCCGAAAGAACAAATCTTGGGAAGAACACCGCCAAAATGTTCATGCAAAGAAAGGAGGAGTAACTTTGATTCTCACTGTAGTATTGTTGCAGACCGATGAGCTTTGTAAAAATCGACGCGTTTCAGAAAGGCGGGGCATAGAGGAGAAACAATAATGTACAGTATGTGGAAAATAATGTGTTTTTTGAACCTTAAACCGCATAAACACATTTCATTACACCAAATACACAAAATAGTGTTCTTTTTAGCAACATCATATGACCCCTTTAATTATGCATAAACTGCAAATTCAAGCTAAATTAATAAATGTCAGTACTTAGAAGGATAACAGGAATGATGGTAATGGGGTTGAAAGTTGTCCTGGCTGTTTATTTTGACATTAAAAGCCTCATGAAACTACAAGATTCTTTAAAAAGAGAATTTCAAACGGTTTCTTTTTTATTATCAGTTACTTACTGGTCAAATGGTAAGAAGGTTGACAACATTGTCTCACAAGAGATAAAAAAAGAACTTGTCCTTGAAGGGTTGTCTTCTTGAAAAGATGACGATGTCATTATGACATTTTTTTAAAGGTATATAAAAGTTTATTAAAAGCAGAAAAGTGGTGCTAAAAGGTTTGACACACAACTTCTTTTTAATAATACTTTAAAAAAATAATTTATTAAATATTTTAGTAATACATTGTTAAATCAAATCTAAAAAAAAAAGATTCTAGCTTTTATATTTTAATCAGTCTGTAAAAAAAAATTAAAAATCAGATTTTTGTCTACATTGTAAAAGTACATTTCTTGGTGAAGTAATTTTTTTACACATGTAAATGAAGGCACCCATTTTGCAGGATGACCCATGGCACCTGACTGCCGCTGCACGTGTCAGGTTTTTCATTTAATAGTCATTGCTACGTAAAGTTATCAGGGTGTTGCATTAAAGCGCACTGCTGATATCAGGCTGAGGTTGAAGGTGAGAGTCAGAACCGGACGGAAGCCTCACCTCTTCCCAGAATGCATTTCCTGACCCTGAGTCATTCTGTTTGGTTTGGACACTCTTTCTCATAGTCGTGCTCAGCACTCCCCTGAAGATTTATATTTTGCCGGTGTTGTGGTGACAGACCATCGAAAGTGACGTCCATTTTCCATGTGACTTATCTGTGTTGTGTACTAGAAGCTCTTAGCATTCGCAATCTTCTTTCAGAGTGATCTGCACCTCCCTGCTCTTCCACAATGACAGTAGCAATGTGTTTGGCACTGATAATCAATCCGCTGATAATCAATCAGCATTCACTGTTGACATCTGTCACTCTCGCTGTGTGTAGAGACAGATACCTCAGTCATTTTGTTATCATGTGACTGCAAAAACAACAAGCCATTTCTATGCCATTATCACTAAAGCACTTTGTGTTGTTGGCCACAGATTATTTATAGAATATATATGACACTGCAGCCTCACTGCAGGACACCATGTCGTGTAAAATCACGGTCAGCCTGTGCTGGAGAATATCCAGTGGTGCAGAGTGTCGTTTCCTTGGTTACTGTGTGGCTCTGTGTGGCTCTGAGCAATGGATATAGATGCTCAGAGTGCTTTTGAGCTATTGAATTTACTCCCTGTGTTGGTCTGAGGTCATTTTATTATCTCTTATTATCACTTATGATGCTAATGGGAATTTTAGGATGATGAGGGCAGCTTGCATCAGCTTTTTATAAAATATGCTACTTTCCAAAGCAAGATAAAAAAAGAACTTGTCCTTGAAGGGTTGTCTTCTTGAAAAGATGACGATGTCATTATGACATTTTTTTAAAGGTATATAAAAGTTTATTAAAAGCAGAAAAGTGGTGCTAAAAGGTTTGACACACAACTTCTTTTTAATAATACTTTAAAAAAATAATTTATTAAATATTTTAGTAATACATTGTTAAATCAAATCTAAAAAAAAAAGATTCTAGCTTTTATATTTTAATCAGTCTGTAAAAAAAAATTAAAAATCAGATTTTTGTCTACATTGTAAAAGTACATTTCTTGGTGAAGTAATTTTTTTACACATGTAAATGAAGGCACCCATTTTGCAGGATGACCCATGGCACCTGACTGCCGCTGCACGTGTCAGGTTTTTCATTTAATAGTCATTGCTACGTAAAGTTATCAGGGTGTTGCATTAAAGCGCACTGCTGATATCAGGCTGAGGTTGAAGGTGAGAGTCAGAACCGGACGGAAGCCTCACCTCTTCCCAGAATGCATTTCCTGACCCTGAGTCATTCTGTTTGGTTTGGACACTCTTTCTCATAGTCGTGCTCAGCACTCCCCTGAAGATTTATATTTTGCCGGTGTTGTGGTGACAGACCATCGAAAGTGACGTCCATTTTCCATGTGACTTATCTGTGTTGTGTACTAGAAGCTCTTAGCATTCGCAATCTTCTTTCAGAGTGATCTGCACCTCCCTGCTCTTCCACAATGACAGTAGCAATGTGTTTGGCACTGATAATCAATCCGCTGATAATCAATCAGCATTCACTGTTGACATCTGTCACTCTCGCTGTGTGTAGAGACAGATACCTCAGTCATTTTGTTATCATGTGACTGCAAAAACAACAAGCCATTTCTATGCCATTATCACTAAAGCACTTTGTGTTGTTGGCCACAGATTATTTATAGAATATATATGACACTGCAGCCTCACTGCAGGACACCATGTCGTGTAAAATCACGGTCAGCCTGTGCTGGAGAATATCCAGTGGTGCAGAGTGTCGTTTCCTTGGTTACTGTGTGGCTCTGTGTGGCTCTGAGCAATGGATATAGATGCTCAGAGTGCTTTTGAGCTATTGAATTTACTCCCTGTGTTGGTCTGAGGTCATTTTATTATCTCTTATTATCACTTATGATGCTAATGGGAATTTTAGGATGATGAGGGCAGCTTGCATCAGCTTTTTATAAAATATGCTACTTTCCAAAGCAAATATGTGGGAAAAGTTCACTAGATAGGCAATTATGGGAGGATAAAATGAACCCCAGTGTCAATGAAACGTTTCTTGGCAAAAATTAAACAGCAGCTGTCTGTTCCAGCCCTTTAATAACCTTATTTCATTGGCCTCCGTTAACCTTTGGAGATGTTGGTAAAGTGGCGCCATCTAGCGATTGATCTTGTAAAGCCTGATTGTTACCCAATTGAGAATATTTGATATTTTTATATTATATAAATATATTAGTAATATATAAATATGTATTATATGATATTATATAATATTATATTTTTATTTTAAATGAGTTTTTATATTATATGCATTTAGCAGTTGCTTTTTTATTTGAATTTTAGTATATTTGAATTCTATTTATATATATTTTTTCCAAGTAAAATAAAGTATTTGTATTATTTTATTATTTTAATAAATGTTTTATTATTTTAAATTATTATTATTATTATTATTATTATTATTATTATTACATTATTAAATTCTTATATTTTATGTAAATATTATATATAGGCATTTATTTATTTGATTTTTTATTATTAAAATGCATCTCTTAAGAAATAATAAAGTGTAAGAGAAAAGATTCACTCATCTAGTTATTCATTAAAGGCAGAGTAAGTGATTTTTCAAAAACACTTTAGAAAACTGATTCGGAATCGCAAACAAAACAAACTTGTAGCCAATCAGCAATAAGGGGCGTGTCTACTCGTGATGTGGAGGAGAGCGCGTTCAGTGCATGGGACAGACATTAGCTGAGCCGAGCGACAGAAAGATAGAGATGGCGGATAAAAAACAAAAGAGGAAAACGTCTGCGGAACGATAAGGCAAGAAGTAGGACCCGTGTAAATATCGGATCAGCTTTCCAGCGATGGAGAGAACTCAAGGAGCGGAGGCCTGCGATCGGACGCCGAGGTTGGTTTGTTTCTTCTCAATAGGTGAGTAACACCGTGTCTACAACAGCTAAAGTCTGCCTACACTGGACGCGATCAAACGACCATTGAAAACCATTTGAAATTTGTGTCAACA